CTGGTTGTCTGGATGTAATTATTGTTGATATAATTACAAGTGGCCTCTGGCAAATCCCATAAAACCCGCTAGGGTTTTATGGTAGATTTGCCAGAGGCCACTTGTAATTATATCAACAATAATTACATCCAGACAACCAGATATTTTTTATATTTACATATTTTTCTTTTTTAAAGACATATTCCTACAGAAATCATTTGCCCTGCCTCAAAATACATTTCAGGCGGCCATTTTGTTTGTTTACATATTCCAACACCTGAAACAGGCAGTTGTAATTATAGTCGAGCAGTTGTAATTATAGCCTATATAATTACACTTGCCCTCTAACACTGTTGTTATGGGACGGCGCGGGGGCAAATGTAAATATAAGAAAGAGGACATTGGTAAAGAACAGTAAACCTTATTTATAGTAAAGAATGATGAAGAGCGGATTACATGAACGGACCAAACAAAAAAACAACCTGCATGACTCTAACTAATAACCACTAACACACAGTCCGTCAGATGGGACACAGTCCGTCAGATGGGACTATAAATGGTGGCCCGTGTGAGAACTGTCCTATCTCGCATGGAAAAGAGACTCTGAGTTTTTTTTAATAAGAGTAGGCGTGGTAACGCCAGCAGAGAGGAATAGGTTAGATTTATTGTTGGCCGTTACAACTAGGTTATCTTTATTAAGACATTTAGAAGGACTTTAAATTATATACAAAACAAATTTATAGAATAGTTAGGAGCTGGTGTGGATGTTGGCAGCTCTTTATCTCACTTCCGGTCCAGACTTGGTGCTGCTATACGACTAGTGTTAGGTTAAGGCAAATATTATGCATAGAAGGCGTCTTACAAAAACTAGACTTATACAGTAGATACATATAGGATAGACGGATCCTTCTCTAACCTGTCTCCCTCTTCTATCCCTTCATTCCAAACTTTATCCCTTCTACTCATTTTCCCAATCCTTTCTTCGTCTACCTATCAATCAATCAATCACTTCAGACTTATTTGATAAATCTGCCAGTTGTTGGTAAATATATTTGATTACCCACTTAAGTGGGTGTAACCCCCTGAACATTAATAAATTGATCTGTCTTCTAATCATGACGTCAAATAACATTTATTATACTTTCTGAATCAACTTCCATTATAAGGTCATAGTTCACGACAATGTTCCCCTATCAGAAACCCATCATAAGGTCATAGTTCACGACAATGTTCCTCCTATCAGAAACCCATTATAAGGTCATAATTCCAACAATGTTCCTCCTATCAGAAACCCATTATAGCATCATAGTACACAACAATGTTCCCCTATCAGAAACAGGAATAATGTATTCCCAATTACATTTGGTTCTAGATATAATATCTGAACATTATTGGGGGGGAAAAGTCCCAAAACTGAAAACGGTTGATTGTCATATCTTATTCTTGTTGGTCCATTTTCAAATTGTGAAGAACATTCAGTAAAGCTCGTGTCTTTATACAATTTGAAGATTAACTAACTGGGATTAGATAAACATGATAAACATGATAAACATGATAAACACCCATCACTCATTGAGGAACCTCTAGTTATATTTGTAATCTTATATATCGACAGAAGAACAAACATTAGTACTGCGGAGATCTGTTAACTCATTCACCCCTGAAGCCACATTTGAACTCTTCCAGTTCAAAGGTTGGAATAGTCCATTATGAAATTTCAGGGGTGAATGAGTTAAATCTTTTTATAAGCATTAAAGGTAGTAACTTGGGAATTAAAGGTAGTAAAGGTAGTAACTTTGGCATTAAAGGTAGTAACTGGGTCATTAAAGTTAGTAACTTGGGAATTAAAGGTAGTAACTTGGGCATTAATGTTAGTAACTTGGGCACTAAAGTTAGTAACTTGGGCATTAAAGATAGTAACTTTGGCATTAAAGGTAGTAACTTGGGCATTAAAGGTAGTAACTTGGGCATTAGAGGTAGTAACTTGGGCATTATAGGTAGTAACTTGGGCATTAAAGGTAGTAACTTGGGCATTAAAGGTAGTAACTTTGGCATTAAAAGTAGTAACTTGGGCACTAAAGTTAGTAACTTGGGCATTAGAGGTAGTAACTTGGGCATTACAGTTTTCAAAGTCTAATCCTCCTGAGTTCTGAACAGTTCATCATATTTTCCACCAAGGTAAAAAGCATCAATGACAACAGGGAATAGAAAGTTTATGTACTACAAAGTGACGAGAGGCCCAAAGCGGGGAAATATTTGCCTTAGCACATTCATATTCTGACGATATTTTTACATTAAACATCCAAGTAATAGAGACACAGGTGTAATTGGCTGATTGTTGTCTGTTTTATCTCTTTTTGTAACTACCTGATCTTATTGTCTTGTCCACCAGGTGACGCTGCTAGAAAGAATGTTGTGCCAGCAGACAATGAGAACAATGAGTACGCTGTTGTGTTTAAACCACCAAAAGGTAAGTTAGTGTTTAACCCTTTCACCACTGTAGACCAAAATGGACTCATACATATCAATGCGTGGTACAGTCTACTGAAGTTACATAGGGGTAATAGGGTTAAAGTAGTACAGGGCAGATCCATAAATTGTGAAAAAGACGCCCTACATATATCTGTTGCAGTTAAATCTGTGTACATTCCTCATGATCAACATGCACCGCCCATTCACGGGCCCAGGTCCATCCTTCCCACTTTTTTATTTCTTTTTGGGTCTAGTTTTTGGATTTAACATTCATGTTAAATTGAAACACAGTAAAATTTAAGTAAATTCAAAATGAATATGAAAGCAGTGTACCGAGCAAAACTTTTTTTTCTGTTTTGCAACATATGTTTATTTTTAAACCATATTCAGATGACCAAATCATTTGAACAGACCCTTTTGCTAATTGTACACTGATATATTAATCTGAGGCATTGTTATGGGAAAAAGAAAATTTAGAAGATCTGTAGTTTATTCTAGCTAGTATATTTTGTTTTTGAATTCATCTCTAAAAATATCTTGAGGTACATGATTAATGTAACACCAAGCAGAGTAACACTGAGTTCTGAGTCATAACATGGAAATGGTTGGGATGCCCTCCATCATTGAATGATACATGTGTTTCCTGTGCGTGGAAAGACAAACACAATCATACCACCTTGATTAGATTAAGGGTCTGACCCCATCCCAGGGGACTTTGGCATTTTAGTCTATAAAAGTCTATTCCTCCAGAACAGATGATCATATTTCAACCAATAAGCCTATGGAACTTGTATAGAATCAGGGAATCAAATGTTTGATAGACATGGGCACTGTGCTACTGAATGCAAACATGCAGAATCCAATATCATTTTAAATGAGGATTTTTAGGTCACCTGAGACAAAATCTCAAGTGACCTATTGTGATTGCCTTTTGTCCGTCGTCGTCCGTCGTCCGTCCGTAAACAATTCACATTTTCGACTTCTTCTCCAAAACCCCTGAACCAATTTCAATGAAATTTTGCAGGGACCTTCCATGGACAAAGGTCAACAAAAATAGTGGCCGGTTTAGTCCCAAGCCCCCAGGGGCCTGAGTAGCGGGGCCAAAAAGGTCAAATTGACTAAAATTTCAAAAATCTTATTCTCAAGACCCAGATATGGTAGAATCAAATACTCTTCATAGATGGAAGGGTCTTAAGGTGCTTTACCAAAATTGTGAATTTC